TATATATATATATATATATATATGTTAAGTATATGGAGAAATTTTCTCACATAACTCATATATATATATCACCGTACCAAAATTATGGGTGATGATGGACTTATGTGGTTTCCTTAAGACATGCCACTTGGAGGTTAACTAGAGACTTTAGAGGGTGACTAATCATCTTAAATTGCCACCTCAAGCTTGCTAAGGGAAAATAGCTTCCTTCCCTTTGAAGAATTGCCCACGGCAATTGGACCGATTTTTAAAAAAATGCGTACGGCTTTTGCTTGCTAATGGAGATTAATTACTAACTAATCACAATTAAATGCTTACTTATTTAATTAAGCGTAACACTTAATTACCAAAATTATTCCGAACGTAAACGGGACGTCGAAAATAGTTTCGGGTAATCTCGACTGAAAATAATTAATTCCGAAAATAATACTCGACAATATTATTATATCGGAACTAAACATGATTTATATAATTAATCTGATGGGATATTACAATCCTCCCTCCTTAAAAATTTCCGTCCTCGGAAATTCAAAACGACTGAATATACATGAAATATGTACATGAACATCAAAACTGAAAATCTGGGAAACGAGCTCGAATGTCAGCCTCTGCCTCCCAAGTAGCTCCGTGGCGATCCCACTGAATACGCACAAGGGGAACATCTCGCTTCTGGAGCCGACGAACCTGACGGTCCAGTACAGCTACCGGTCGTTCCTCGTACGATAAGTCTAGCTGAACCTGAATATCTGAATGAGAAATGACATGATCGGGGTCGCACACGTACTTACGCAACATAGATGCGTGGAAAACATTATGAATGCCTGATAACTTGGGAGGTAAGGCTAATCGATACGCAACTTCGCCTACTCTCTCGAGAACCTCGAACGGGCCAATGAATCGAGGGTGTAACTTCCCTCTCTTCCCGAATTGAACTACTCCGCGAATAGGACGAACTCTTAGAAAAGCTGGCTCGCCAACCTCGAACTGAATGTCTCGTCGATGATGATCGGCCGAAGATTTCTGTCGACTCTGAGCTGTCTTGAGTCTCTGCCGGATCAACTCGACCTGTTCTGCCGTCTCCTCGATCATCTTCGGACCGAGTACTTGTCGCTCTCCGACGTCGTCCCAATAAAGAGGGGAGCGACACTTACGACCGTAAAGTGCCTCGTAAAGAGCCATCTGAATAGAAGAATGATAGCTGTTGTTGTACGCAAACTCGGCGTACGGCAACAACGACTCCCACTTAGCACCCCTGTCAACAACCAAAGCGCGAAGCATATCCTCAAGCGTCTGAATGGTCCGCTCGGACTGACCATCTATCTCCGGATGGTAGGCAGAACTGAACTCTAGCTTCGTGCCCATTGCCTCGTGTAAACTATGCCAGAATCTGCTGACGAATCTGGGATCTCGATCTGATACGATAGTAATGGGCACTCCGTGGAGTCGGATGATCCCAAGGGTATATATCTCAGCCAACTTATCCAAAGACATCTTCATCGAAACGGGTAAGAAATGCGCGACCTTAGTCAATCTGTCGACCACGACCCAGATAGCGTCGTGATGTTCAGACGACCTCGGTAATCCCGTAACGAAATCCATCGTGACTGCCTCCCACTTTCACCTCGGAATCGACAGTGGTTGCAGGAGGCCGATCAGACTCTGATGTTCGGCTTTGACCTGCTGACAGGTAAAACATCTCCTGACAAACTCGGCGACGTCTTTCTTCATTACGTGCCACCAGAACGACCCTTTCAGGTCATGATACATCTTCGTGCTCCTGGGATGGGCTAGATAGGGTGCCGTATGAGCCTCTGATAATATCTCCTTCCGCAACGCCTCAACTTTCGGGACCACGATCCTGCCTCTGAACTCTAAAGCACCGTCGGCACCTAGCTGAAAACCCTCGACGCCTCCGGCATGGACTTTGGCCTCCATGACTCGAACGAACTCGTCAGAAGCCTGCTCCCGCCGGATTCTCTCTCTCAGCGTCGGCTGAATCTGCATGGCATTGATACTGGCACTGACACTCCCCGAAATGGCTGTGGGAAGTGCATCGACCGCCTGAATCTGTATCCGGGCGAACTCCTGAATTAGCGGACTCTGCTGAGTAACGACGTACGTCAAGTCACCCCTCACCTTTCGGCTTAGGGCGTCCGCAACGACTTTCGCCTTTCTTGAATGATACTGTATCGAGCAATCGTAATCTTTGACGAGCTCGAGCCAACGGCGCTGTCTCATGTTGAGCTCCTTCTGCGTGAAAATGTACTGCAGGCTCTTATGATCTTTGAAAATCTTGCAACGACCGCCGTAAAGATAATGTCGCCAGATCTTGAGTGCATGAACAATGGTGGCTAATTCTAAGTCGTGCGTCGGATAGTTCTGTTCGTGCGGCTTAAGCTGGCGTGAAGCATAGGCAACGACCTGGCCGTCCTGCATGAGAACGCATCCCAAAACCTATTTCGAAGCATCGCTGAAAATGGTGAAACTCCGAGAAGGATCGGGAATAGTCAACACCGGGGCTGAAGTTAATCTCCTTTTGAGCTCCTGAAAGCTCGCCTCACAATGATCAGTCCACTCGAACTTCACAGACTTCCCCGTCAGCTGAGATAGTGGGAGGGCAATTTTAGAAAAGCCCTCGATAAACCTGCGATAGTAGCCAGCTAAACCGAGAAAACTGCGAACCCCGGACGGACTCTTCGGTGTTGACCAGTTCTGAACAGCTGAGACCTTGGAAGGATCCACCTCGATACCTGCCTGAGTAATCACATGACCCAGAAAGGCTACTCGCTGGAACCAGAACTCGCATTTGGAGAATTTTGCAAACAACTTTTCTCATCGGAGGGTTTCGAGAACCACCCTCAGATGCTCCCCATGCTCCTTCTGGCTCTTCGAGTAGATAAGAATATCGTCGATAAAGACAATGACAAAATGATCGAGGTAGGGATGGAAAATACGGTTCATCAGGTCCATGAAAACTGCTGGAGCATTACTGAGGTTTAATGGCATAACGACGAACTCGTAATGGCCGTAACGAGTCCTGAAAGCGGTCTTAGCGATATCTGACTCCTTAATCTTCAGCTGGTGGTAGCCTGATCGTAAATCAATCTTTGAGAATACACATGCTCCCCTTAACAGATCAAATAAGTCGTCGATCCTGGGAAGCGGATACTTGTTCTTGATCGTCAACCGGTTAAGATCCCAGTAGTCGATACACATGCGCATGGAACCGTCCTTCTTCTTGACAAAGAGAACGGGTGCTCCCCAAGGTGACACGCTGGGTCGGATGAAACCGAGCCGTAATAGCTCCTGGATCTGCGCCTTAAGCTCCTGCAACTCCTTCGGCGCCATACGGTATGGGGCTTTGGAGACTGGGCCGGCTCCTGGAATGAGATCGATAGAGAATTCCACCTGCATGTTAGGTGGTCCTCCTGGAAGCTCGTCTGGGAACACATCCACAAACTCACGAATAACTGGAACATCGTGAGGTGATCATGCTTTTTGAGAATCATCGACAAGGCTCACCAGATAACCCTGGCAGTTGCCTCGTCGTAGCAACTTGGTAGCTTTCGCCATTGAAACAACATGAGGCAATGAACGATTCTTGCTGCCAAAGAAGGTAATCGAATCGTCTCCCGGAAGATAGAGAGTAATCTCCCGGTCATGACATCTGATATCTGCATGATAAAAGGATAGCCAATCCATTCCGAGAATAAGGTCGAAGTCCCTCATCTCGAGAACATATGCGTCAGTAGACAATACTCGGCCACCGATGGAAAGGCTGAGATCTGAAGCTTTAGTTGAGGTCACTATCTTTCGTCCCGAGGCTAAACTCACCTCGAGAGGATCGACAGCGGTGATAGCGTGAACCCCGATGGCATCAAGACATCGTCGTGAAATGAAAGAATGCGTTGCTCTAGTATCGAACAAAGCGAAAACAGGAATATTATTAAGCACAACCATCCCTGACATAGTACCTGGCTCCTGCGCTGCCTCGGCCTGATCAACCGCGTAGACTCGGGCCTGCTGTCTGCCCCTCTGCTGCTGCTGCTGAGGCGGCCTCTGAGCCTGCTGACGGGGCAGCTGCTGTTGTGGTGGCTGCTGAGGCTGCTGGGGCTGCTGCTGAAGTCTCTTCGGACAGCGGCTAACAAAATGTCTGGGCTCGTGGAAGTAGTAGCAAATATCCTGGCCCATGTGGCACTCTCCCAGATGAAGTCGTCCACAAGTCGGGCACGGTGGAACCTGCTGCTGTCTCTGTCTGGTCCTCCTGTCAGTCTGAGCACACTTCCCCTTCCTCTTCTTTTCCTTCGTCGGCTGGGCAGCTGGTAGGGCTGGTGGAGCTGTGGATGACTGGGTGGGGGCGGATGGCTGAGGACGATCACGGATGGCCTCCCTCCTGATGCTGGCGTCCACCTCCTGGGCAATAGAAACTGCACGAGCATACGTCTGGGTCCCGTGTCCTACAATATTGTGACGGACTGCTGGGTAAAGCACGTCAATAAAGCGCTGTGCTCTCTGGGCCTCCGTACGAACCAAATCAGGAACAAAAGCTGCAAGTCTGGTAAACTCTCTTTCGTACTCGTCAACAAATCGAGTACCCTGTTTGAGCGACAGAAACTGACGCTCCATCTCTGCTCTGTAATAGGTGGGGTAGTACTTCTCGCGGATCAGCTCCTTGAGCCTATCCCATGTACATCCCTCCTTCTCGCCGGGATGCATGCTCCAGTAGGCATTCCACCAGAGCCGGGCATCGCCGGTTAGCTGAAGCTGAGCGCAGATTACGCGATATCTGTCTGGACATTCCATGACCTCGAAGATCAACTCAAGGCCCTGGATCCACTCGTCCACGATACGGGGATCTCCCTGCCCAGAGAATTTCTCAGCATGATAGTCGCGAAACTGTGCGACTACCGTGGCCTGGGGAAGAACCGGGTGATCGGGTTCCCTACGGGGCGACATCTGATCATTAAAAAAGTTCAAATTATTGAACACATGAAAAATATTCTGACTGATTTCTAAAGTACACGGATCTCTTGACGAGTTGCCAAAAAAAATGGCTGGAAAATATTGATATAGATCCTGAAGACGTCTAGAGTTACATCTGAGTATACTGAATTCTAAAGTCTGATCCTGATTCGAGCATCTTAACTAAGTCATGATTAATAATTTCTGAGCATAGGCAAAGTAATATGTTTATAACTGAAAACATAAATCAGCGCTTACCTGTAGTCGGCGAGGCGTGAGTGAGACGGTTCAGGTTTTTTTGAAAATATCTGACTTATAAAACTTTTCAAAGACGCAGAAACGTGCTCTGATACCAATTGTAACACCCCGCTATTTTACTGAAATCAGAGTATGCTTTTTCGCAAATTTTCTGAATAAATTTAATAAAAAATTTATTTTTGCGAAAACTGATTCGGGGTGTTACCGTGAAAATCTGACTTTTTATCGGAAAAACCGTTAATTGTAAACTGATAATAAAACGGTTATATAAAGTAATAACCGACTAAAGTCGGATCAAAACTGAGTTTAAGTACTGCAAAAGGTAGCGAAAAAGTAGCGTGGCCAAAACATAACATATACATATACATCTCAAAACAACTGTCCTGAACAGCACGTCAGCTCACTCCTCGTCCCCGACCCTGTGACCTGAAAAACATAAAATACGTGGCGGCGTGAGCACTAAAACACTGTGCTCCCTAGAAACTCATATTAAAGTAAACAGTGAATATAATAACAATATCATGATCCTGGTATATACGCAACCTGAACATGAAACCGGTAATAACATGAACATAAACCTGATATCATCACGTGAACGTGAACCATGACCGTTACCTCATCTGCCAGCATAAAAATGCCGGACACCATGTGCACACTCTAGTGGGCAGACTAGGCCACTAGAACCCAGAATGGACCGACGACCATTCCGAGCGGATACATGACATGAAATACATACCTCAAACATGGTAGCGATATTATAATCAATATAGTACTTAGTCTGAGTCCCCACCTGATCCGTGAAAATAAAGGTAGTGCTGATGCTCGTGTCCTGATCAAACTGAAATATAATATAAACAATTACTAATGACTATGCTCAGACTGATAACTTAACTGATTAATTATGTTAAGATGCTCTACTGAACCTGACATGATACTCAGATTTAATCGATATAACTGGAACCGGTTAAATACGGAACTGAACTAAACCCAGAAATCATAACTAAAAATGAGACTAACATGAACCGGGACTAAACATGAAATTTATAGGCTGAACCGGGACTAAACATGAAATTTATAGGCTGAACCGGTCCAACCGGTCTGAACCGGATTGAACGGGTCTGGACCGGACTGCCGGTCTGCTGAACCGGGCAGTAGGGCACTGGCTCGGTCAGCGACCTGTCGAGTGCTGCGCGCACGGGCGCTGCCTGGCCTGACCACTGGCGCTGGCTGCTGGGCAACGCTGGGCATGACCTGAGGTGCGGCTGAATGTTATGCGCATCGGCTGCTATCTGACTGGGCACCGTCGGGTGTTGCCTCACACCACGACGTGCAACTGGACACTGAAGAGCGCGCACAGGCACTAACTGACATGACTGGCACTGTGCAGCACTGCCGTGCGATACCCACGGTGCTGGCTACTCGGGCGGCCTGCTGGGTGCTGCCGAGGCCACTGGTGTGCGACGCTGCGTGCTGGCGGATACTACCGCACGCTAGCGTGCTCGACTGGGCGTGGCAAGTGCGTACGTGCATTGCCAACCGCTGACTGTCGTTACGGGCGCTATGTGCCGCTGCCATGGGCATGCGCACACACTGGCAGCCCGTACTGCTTGACTGCCGGCACGCATAGCCACTATGTGCGGCAGCGTGTATACGTCCGGCCCTTGCCGGCCGTCCGGCGACTACTCTCGAACACTTTAACTTCAAATGACATGACATGAACATAAATACTGAATAAATCTTCAAAGCATGAATTTTGAACAAAAAGCTGGACTCGGCCGCGGCGAGCGCACCGTGCGCCGCCAACGGCGGTAAGCCATTTTACGACCGTACTCGATATTCTCTCGGCAATTTACTCATAACTGATCATGAAACAATATTTACTGAATAAATGAACATGATATGTTCGAAGGTTTATCATCTCACACGAGCGATGACTATGAGCGGCCCGTGGTGCGCGCTTCGTGCGCGACCACGTCCCTCGGCCAATCTCTATGACTGAACATAAAATTCCTTCGGACAACATAAACTGATTGGTCATAATACATCATAAACTGACTAAATACACAGAATTGCTCGAGGAATTTCCTACCAAAACATGAACATACTCGCTATAGCCACACGCACGGCCGAACGGCTTGATGCCGTTCCATGAACATGACTATGCAAACTGAACCAATATAAATATAACATGATCAATTAAAGGTAACCGAAGTTACCTTCTTGAATGCTCGGTTGAATGCACCCGCTACTTGCGGTCACTAGGAACTTGGGCGTGTGCGGTGGTTCTTGGCGATGGTGTGCGGTGCGGTTGCTTGCTTCTTGCGTGAGCTTGATGAATATTAAGGGCACTCTTCACTCTCTCTCTCTCTCAAGCTAAGTACACTAAGAATATATATACATATATATATATATATATATA